CCGCATGCTGAGAGGAAAAAAAACAAGCACGTAAACAGCACACCACTGCTCGCAGGCTCTCGAACGGACACTTTGATCAGATACGCAAGCAAACAGTCAATAACAGGTGCCATAAACTGTCATTGGTCAAGCGACGGATCAAGCGGCCAGTGACTCAATCTCGCATGACGATTACACATTCACGCCTACATCATGCCGGCGGACAGACGCACGCGCGCAGACCCAAAGCTTGCCACGCTCCGGCGGCCTCCGATCACCAAACGGCGTTTCCAACAAACAACTCCTACTGGTCGTCCCCCTGCTCTTCCTATACGAAACTTGGCGTGATAATCGTAGTGCTCAGCGCGCATCCACGGCTTAGACCTCTACAAGGCGCAAGTTGGAAATGCCCAGTGAAAGCATGATCGCAGGTTACCGCCTCGTGGGTAATGCGTTCGCACACAGTAACATTGCAGTCTCTTCAGGGAAAAGGGAGTCATTGACCACGATCTTGTTTTTGTCATTTAAGGAGGGGGAGGGGGGAGTTGAACTGCTTGTGTAAATCAAAGCAAACACCTACACGTTACCGAGACCACAAAGTCAAAGTGAGTATTGAACTGACAGTGTGATTGGCTGAACGAATGCCTGCATACAAAGCAGACCATGTTTACCAAGGATCGCAAAGTCGGTTGTCAAGATAGACAGCGTCCTACACAAGTAGAACAGTACACCCTCATGCATCCCTGTTACAGTTAATACATAGTAACGAACGCCAAGAGACCAACAAGATTGGCAGTCGATGTCCACCTCCCACACGGGCGTCCTAATAAGTAAGTCAGATATGCTGTTTGCCTTGGGGTAACGTCTAGGAAGGGTAGCTGTTGCCGTGACGGCAATAATGACAACAGAAACGAAAATAAGAGTCCCAGAAGTAATAAAGAAGATGCAGACGTGATGGCTGGAACAAAAATTTAATTCGCCTGACGTTTCGAAATCCGTCCCGGATCCATCCTCAGAGAAAATAGCAGAAATGGGTAATTCATACACACAGGATGTTTTTCTGGTTATAAAAGAAATTGCCGTGCCTCGTCCATAGGATTTGGTGTAATTACGGAAGAAGGCACTACATCAGAAAAAAAAACCAGAAGACTTCTCAAGACAGGAATTGCCGAACACGTAGCAGCGTAGCGGAGAAATGACACCAATTTTCAATTCGCGGTTCATTCGACGAGACCCGGCCACATACTCCAATCGAATGGCGCCAAAATTCTCGCGAGGTGACAACCATATGAGCCGCGAGTTGCTTGAGTCATGGTTTAGGGTCTATAAACGGGTGCACTGACCTACCAAACCATATTCGGTGCGAAGGCTGAGTTTGTTCAAAGGTATTCGCCATTTAGGGAACGTGTAAAAGAGACACACCGTCTAAAGCCTGCTCTAGGGAACCAAATGGCCGAAGAATCATCACGCCAAAATCCAGCACGAGTGACATAAGTTCGGCATGTCGCCGATTATTAAGCAATTAGCGCATAAGCGGACGATTATCCTCGACACGGAGCCGTTGTTTTTCATAAGTGTGCAGCATCATAATGACTGTATCCTATAAATACTGCAGCACCCTGTGTATGGATTACCCGTCTCTGCTATTGTATCTCATTGTGGATCCGCAACGGATTTCGAAACGTCAATCGAATAAAATTATTGTCCCAGCGGTCAAATATACTTCTTCTCCATTACTTTCTGGGACTCGCACGTTCGCTTGTATTGGTAGTAGTAGTAGTAGTAGTAGTAGTAGTAGTAGTAGTAGTAG